TTTTTTTTTTTTTTTTTTTTTTAGGTTTCTGGCACTGCCCTTGATATCTGCGTGAAATTTGACGTCAACATATTCATTAGTGTTTGAATTACACTTGGCTTTGTGAGACGCTAAAACTGATTCGGGCGATTTTTGAAATGTTCTGAATGAATTGAGCAAAGAACTTGCCTTAAATTTTGTTTGAGGAAACTTATAGAAGAAGGCATTCGGTGAGCATTCCTACATCGGAAATAAATGTTTAGAAGTGTTATAAACAGTTCAAAGAAGGCAGAGAAGGCGTTGAAGACGAAGAGCCCTCTAGTCGATCATCGAGTTGAACCGACGAAGCTCACGTCTAAAAAATTAGGTTTGGTGATTGCAAACAGTCAATTTGGAATTAGAGACCTTGCTGATGATGTTGGAATTTCAAAAGGATAGATGAATTCCATTTTGGGCCTCAAACGCTTCAAATTTCGATTGGTACCGAAAATACTGAATGCGCCAGGTCCCACTGAATTGATTCTTCGTGACTTTTTCGCCAAATATGGAACCCATATCGTTCCACAATCACCGTATTCTCGCCGTGTGACTTCTGGCTATTCCCTAAACTCAAAAGACTACTCCGGGGGCACCGTTTTGAGTCAATTGAAGAGATTAAACGCGAATCGCCGCGCGTTTTGAAGGTCATCCCTGCCGATGACATTGAGGAGGCATTGAGGATTGGAAAACAAGGTCGCATAAGTGCATTTATTTTGAAGGCAACGAAGTAAATTTGGAAGAATAATTAAAAGAGTTTTTGTAAAAAAAATAATTGGTCTTACTTTTTTGGGCACAGTAACAAAAATAAAAATGTATAAAAGTGCTAATAGCTAATAAGTTTAAATAGCTTCTTACCAGAACTCCCCAAGTTTTCTTTCACGAATTCTAGAGCATCTTTGACACTCTCATCTTTGGTTACATCCATATGCAATACATGCAGTCTTTTAGAACCACTTTCCTTCAGTTCCAAAGCTCCATCTCTGTCAGGAAACAAGCAAGTTGCGAACACATGAAAACCTTTAGAGTCAAGCCGCTTAGCTAGCAAATTCCCAAATCCCGTATCACATCCTACAGAGGTAATTTTTTATAAACTATATTAGGTACAACTAAAAAAAAATGATAAAATTTTTAATTAAATATGTTAAGTAATCATTTATACATAAAATAAATGATTAAAAATGTGTATGGTATAGTTTTATTAGTATAGGGGCCTGATAGCAGAGTGGCTAGTGCTCTGGCACTCGGTAGCACAAGTTTCAGGTTCGAGTTCCGGCGCTATCATGGATGTTTGTAGTGGTTCCAATTCATTTTAAGCCGTAGGTTCCGGTCTAATATGATCGTCGAGCGTTGTGGCGGTATCGTTACTCAGACACAAGTAACGCTACCATCTAACTAACTACCAACTCGTTGATAATCTGAGGGCATTTTTCAAGAAATTGAATTTTGATTGGATAATTTGGAATAAGTTCGACGTCTAGGACTCTAGGAATAAATAAAGTTGCTTTGAGAATTGTTTAATATATTCATCACTGATAATTTTGCCAGTGCCGTTCACATAGTAATTTTGCATGAATAGATATGTTATTGAATTTCGACGTTTGTGCTGAAATTTACTTACAATATCATTTGACTATGAGAAAATGTTTCGGTCATTGGGAATTTAATATTTATGCTTAGCATTAAAATGTGGCCAAGTGGCTGGCACTCGTACCACAGGTTTCGAGTTCGAATCTATGGAGTACTATGAGGTACCATAGTAGCTCACAATCCTCTTTAAACCGTAGGTCCTGGTCTAATAGGATCATAGAGTGTCGTGGAGGTATTGTTACTTGCGTTCGTAGCATATCTTCAAGTGATAAAGGAGCAACAGCGGTGCAGCCCTTTCTTATGGCATAAAGATTTACTGTCTCTGTATTGCCAGCTGCATTAGAACAACGACAACAACAGTTTTATTAGTATATGCAATTGAGACCATAAACACGTGTAAAAAAATAAAAGAGTAATTTGGCACATTGTTTTGCCCAAAATTCTAGAATTTTTTTTTTATTAATACAGAATACACTTTATACATTACCTTGGAGCTGAAAAACTAATTCACCAATAAGCGAATATAGCATTATAAGTTGAAAAGAATGAAATGTTTTCAATTGAAACGTATGAAGATGTTAACGGTAAACCAGATTAATGCCAAAAACAATACTACTTCTTCGCTAATCCGATGAATAATGAAATAGAAGAATCTGAATCTGAATCTGAATCTGGTTTCTCAGAAGATGACCTTTAAAAAGATTGAATAAAGGAAATTTATCTGTAATATAAACCGTCTTAGTTTTAGATACATATATAATATTATGGTGGGCCTGAATGGCTAGCGCTCTGGCGCTCGGTACCACAGGTTTCGGGTTCGAGTCCCGGCGGTGCCATGGATGTTTGTAGTGGTTCGGAATCCACTTTAAACCGTAGGTCCTGGTCTAATAGGATCGTAGAGCGTTGCGGGGTCATAGTTATTCCGCGTCCGTGTCTTATCTTCAAGTTACACGCCTCCCCCTGGGTAATGCAAAGTGAGTAACGTCTGTGCACCGTTTACCTTAAGGCATCCAAGACCAAGCTGTCTAAGTGTTTGCCAGATGCATTAGAAAGAAGAAAAAAATAATAATATTATGGTATTACGAGCATATTGTTAATTCGAAAGATAGATTCTAGTTGACGTCTTAGTAAAAAAGGGATGCAAATGCTAACAAATTAAGAGGAGTTATTTTTATTATTAAAATGGTTATATTAGTTTCATTTAACATTATAAAGGTTTTTTATTTCATAGAAATACAAATAATTTATTACTGTATTGTCTAATGAAGTTTAAATAATGTCAGTTTTCAACATATAATATACGAATCAGGTGTTATACCTACAATTTGTTAACAAGTAAATTATTTGATTAGTGTGCAGGATGGTCCCATAAATGTATACGATAAGGAAGAGCAGATGGCCATCCGTTATTGATAATGGTCTAGTCCAGAAAATTGATGGGAGAATTCTATGTTTTAGGAACATTTTTTTTTCTTCAAATGCAGCTGGCAAATAGACCGTGATCTTTTATGCCGTAAGGGCTGCACCGATGTTACTCCCTTTGCACTACTCAGTGGACGCGTGTAACTTGAAGATAAGCCACGGACGCGGAGTAACAATGCCCCCGCAACGCTCTACGATCCTATTAGACCGTGACCTACGGTTTAAAGTGGATTCCGAACCACAACAAACACCCATGGCAACGCCGGGATTTAAACCCGATACCTGTGGTACCGAACGCCAGAGCGCTAGCCACTCGGCCATCAGGCCCCGCTGGTTTTAGGAATATAAGCAATAGGGTTTCATCATCATATAATTTTTCTGGGCCTGAATGTCCGAGTGTTTAGCGCTCTGGCGCTCGGTGGCACAAGTTTCGGGTTCGAGTCCCGGCGGTGCCATGGATGTTTGTAGTGGTTCGGAATCCACTTTAAGCAGTAGTTCCTGGTCTCCTATGACTGTAAGAGCGTCATGGAGCCAAAGTCAGACTTCTACCTACGGGTGCGCCATCACAACAGAAGCTGCTTCCTTCCCCTATGGGCTCGTGGGTTTGGCTTAGATGTCTTCCAAGGGAGATAAGAAACAACAACAACGTAATTTTCCTCAAATTTTTAGGGGTATTCTCTATAAAATTTGTGACTAAATTCTTACACTATCAAATGAATTGCTCAAGCTGGATCCCAAAATTTTTTCCTACTTTTTTTTCACTGTATTGCAGAAAGTTCTTTATAAATAATTTTCATTCATTTCATTAAAGTTTATCTGGCGCCATCTATTGGTAGATATATGCAACTTAAATCTAAAAAAAACTAAAATTAGTTAATTAAATTTAATTACTGAATTAATATTTGAAAAAACTGCATCAACATCAAGTGTCATCAACTACAAATTTAAAAAAAATGTATTTGAACTTGAGTGGATGATTAAAAAGTATATTATTAACGAATGAAAATTTGAACAAGATATATATATAGGGAGAATGTGACCTAGTAGAAGGAATTGAATAAAAATAGTTTAGTCAGTGCTTTGACTTTTCTCGTAAGGTACAATATTAAAAGGTATAGGTTTTAAGGCGAATTTTCGCCGGGAACCAAACATGGACTATTCCCGTTACACAATCAAAACAACAGTTCATGCAATTGAAAACGCGTACAGCTTCACTCAAGAAAGAAATGTTCAAGAAAACAATTTCTGCCATAAAAATTATGCAGTGTGTTTTGGGATAGCAAGGTGTTTTGCATCTGGTTTTATTGTGTCTAGTCAATTCAGACAGATACTAAGAGAATAAATAACATACATGGTGCAATCCAAAACCAGAGACTATACATGCTCAGTATTTACGATCATTTTAATTTTAACAATGCGACTTTTTTGTTGATCTAACATAAGAACTCATCATGTACTATGCATTGGTACAACTTGATCACTTTCCATGGGACCCTGTCCAAGCTACAAGAGATTATCATTTATTCTTTCACTTAAAAGAGCACATTGGTCACATGTGGTCACTGAGATAACGATGGTGATATCAAAACGGACGTCCTGGAGGGTTCAAAAATCAGGCAACAAAATTTTGTGAGAATGGAATTCAGAAGCTGTGTTATTGTTTGTTGTTTCTTATCCCGCTTGGCAGACATTTCTATGCCAAGCCCACGAGCCCATACGTACTCAGGATTGAGTACGTATGGGCTCGTGGTATTATGGTATGGGTACGTATGGGCTCGTACGTATTCTTCTGTTGTGATGGAGCACCCGTAGGTAGAAGCTCTTACAGTCATAGGAGACCGGGACCTACGGCTTAAAGTGGATTCCGAACCACTACAAACATCCATGGCACTGCCGGGACTCGAACCCGAAACCTGTGGCACCGAGCGCCAGAGCGCTAGACACTCGACCATTAAGCCCCCAATTTTGAATGCCAACGGCACGCGGTGTTCCCAGGTGGTCACCCACCCAAGTATGCTTAACTTCGCGCCCAATGATGCTTAACTTCGGTGATTGAATGAGAATTGGTATATTCAGCATGGTATGGCCGTAGAAGCTGTTCGTACAATATGATAAGTATTTTAATGTAGTTGGATATTATGTAGAACAGTAGATTATTTGTCTAGACATTCATATTACAAACGTGTTAATAAAACTGTCCTTGTTTGTTTTTATGTCAATTTTAATAAGTATCGTCTTTATATGCCTCTTTTAACACATCCCGTATATAAAATTTATTGACATTAATTCAAGAAAATAAAATGTTAATTAAAATTAAAGCTCGTGAATTGAGCATTGATACATAAAATTTTGTGTTTCATCTAGTTTTACTTCAAAGTGCACACAAAAATTTTAATTAAGGTAAAGTTCCAGATTAAATAAATTGTAATCAATAAAAATTGAAAATCAATCAAATTTCAGAATGGCAAAATTGAGACAATGTTATAACTAAAATGTAAACCCCAAAACATACTAAAATATTTTTTAAAATTTCGAACTAATATTTAGAGATAGTTAAAAAGTGGATTAGTGCTATTTTTTTAATTTAAAGAAAATTATCGTTTATTCTACATCTTAATTCAATTTTATTGTAGAACTAACAAAAAAATAAGATTATATATGATTCATTTTACTTTGTAGCATTGTGAATTATTGTTGGCAAATGTTGTTGAAGAAAAACATCAGTTAAAATTGCACAATTACACTTCAAAAAATTTTTTAAGAAATACGCTTCATCGTGTAGTTAAGTAACAAAGCAACTAAAATACATGAAACCAAAAATTTTTTTATATTTACTTAAAAGTAAATTTTAAAAAATGATTTTTTCAAAAAAATAAATAAAAATTATTCATTAGATAAATATTACACTAGTTGAAAATATTACACTAGATTCATTAGATAATATTATTATTATACAAAAATGGAAAATATAAAACAAAAAATAAAAATTTTAAATTTGAACATTAAAAATTTTATTCATTTTGCATAAAATATATCTGTATTTCAATTGTGTACCACATTTACCAGATTACCATTGAGATTACCACATTTACTACATAAATTACTACGATTACCACATTTACTACATAAATTACTACGATTACCACATTTACTACATGACATTACTACATCATTTTCATTGTAAATAATAATTTGTTAATTAGTAAGTATTTTATCTAATTTAATAAATAATTTGTAAAACCATATAAATAATTTACAAAATAAAACACCAATAAATAATTTACAAAATATATAGTACCTGTTATGAAAACAGCTTTATCTTTGATTGAATTTTTTCATTCAAAGATCTTTGTTTCGTAAACTTAAAAGTGAGAGTAGCTATAAATATTGATAAAATGTAAATAAATACATTCGAATTAACGAATAGTACAAAAATATCACGGAAAATAAAACTTGTATAATTTACTAGCAAAAGGACGAAAATTAAATGAGAAGAAAATACACTAATGTATTTCAAATCCATGATTACTCGTTTTATCCTTAAACACAACTCCAATGACTGCTCTGGTGGTCTGCTACTTCATTTCTGCTACTTTCTACTATGTCAACAATTACCAGTTAAAAAATTTTATCAGATAAAGAGGAGGAAAAGATGAAATATCTACTGCTGAATCTCAATTTTTCATAGCTCATGCCATTTTTCATAGATATGCCCTCATCATTGTTGGCGATTGCTACAGAATTAATTTTGATTTCAGAAACGGAAACACACTTTTTTTACAACTAAGCAATTAACTATAAAAAAAAAAGAAGACTACTGTGCCCAAAAAGTAAGACCAATTATTTGTTTTTCAAAAACTCTTTATTTATTCTTCTAAATTTATTTTATCTCCTTCAAAGTAATCAACTCCGGACACAATGCACTTATGCCAACGTTTTTTCCAATCCTCAATGCATGCTAAAAAGTCATCGGCAGGGATGGCCTTCAAAGCGAGCATCGATTCAAGTTGAATCTGTTCAATCGACTCTAAACGGTGTTCCCGGAGTTCTTTTGTGTTTAGGGAATAGCCAGAAATCGCACGGTATGAATTTGGTGGGTACAAACAAATCAAATTCATATTTATTTTAAAATTTGTAATAAAAATGATTTTATTAATAGAACTTCATTGTTATTAATTATTTGACTACCGGAATAGTGGAATAATATAAAGAATTGAATTTATCAAAGATTTCAACTTTTTCGAAATAAGTCAAATTTTGAGCATTTTACTTTTTAAAAAAAGTAAATCTTTCCAAATAATAAATATAAAATAATAAAACACATGCACTTAGAAAAAGCCAAAATAAAAAAAAGTGATTATTTTAAAAATTAAATAGATACAAATGTAAATTTTAAAATGTGTTCTATTATTATCTAGAAGTAGAGTAGCTAGATTCATGAAATGACTATGTTCTATTGTGTCCTTATGAGTTGTCATTGCTTGCTTCTATATTTTCTACATTTACTCATAGGATTCGGGTTCGAATCCCGGCTTTGCCATGGGTGTTTGTAGTGGTTCGGAATCCACTTTAAGCCGTAGGTCCCGGTCCTAATAGGATAGTAGAGCGCTGCGGGGGCATTGTTACTCCGCGTCCGTGGCTTTACCATCAAGTTACACGCTCCCCCTGGGTAATGCAAAGTGAGTAACATTGGTGCAGCCCTTATGGCGAAGATCTCGGTCTATTTGCCAGCTGCATTAGATGGAAAAAAAATTATAGGATGGATTTGTCATTAAGATAACAGACTTATGAATTATAATAACTTAAATGTCATGCTTTTATAAAAAAAAAGCAAATAATAAATAAAATTTTCAACACATTTTTAACTTAATCAGCAATTTTTCTTAAAATAAAATTAACGAAAGTTGCAAAATTCAAATTATCTTTTCAATTGTAGATTTTTCAAAAGGTCATAGAATTATTTATATCTTATCAAGCCAATTTTTGAATTATCAAAATTGCTGCATCCTATTATTTGTTTTATATATTTTTATCACTTTATCTCTTATATTATCACTTTTCAAAGGACTTTGATTCTGGGAAGTGGACTTGCAAATAATCATACTAAAAATATATATTTTTTTTTTTTTGTATATCATAAAAATTTGATAAGAAAATTAAAGGCGGCATAAAAATAGATATAAATAATTTAGAATTTTTTCAAACTCCTATCTTAATTCAATGCATTTGTATTATATTTAACAGCTATTTCTCTTCTAGAAATCTACAACTAATCTATCTACAACTATCTATCTAATCTACAACTATCAACATTAAGTTACGAATATCTTAAGAAAAGGAACCAATAACAAATTTTCATTGCTCAGCAACCCAAAATTAGTAATAAATGGTTATTTTAATTTTACAAAAAAAAAATATCATCGATATTTGTTGTCATGTGTAATTATATCGTATTTTTAACTAGACTTAGAAAATCATTTTATCATTTTATAATTTAAGTATTTAAGTTCAACTAATTTAATATTAAACATAGAGTGGCATTGTCATTTCAGGAAACAAACATCGCATATATTAAGCGTCGAAGCTTGTGTCTAGGACCATTCGCATATTGCAGAAGGTTGGGACATACCGAAAACCAATGTTTCAAAAAAGATTCAATAATTCCAGAAAACACAGGATGCAGAAGAAAGAAGAATATTCTTGGCTGACATCAAATATCACCCTTACAACAACAAAAAAACCGTGATCTTTTTATACCACAAGGTGTGCACCGAAGTTACTCATTTAGCACTACCCATTGGGCACGTGTAACTTGAAGATAAGATACGGATGCGGGATAACAATGTCGCCGCAACGCTCTACGATCCTATTAGGACCGGGACCTACGGTTTAAAGCGGATTCCGAACCACTACAAACATCCATGGCATCGCTGGGACTCGAACCCGAAACCTGTGTTACCAAGCGCCAGAGCGCTAGCCCCCGGTCAAGAGGCCCCCCACAGCTGAAATTATAAATTTGGAAATTTTTTGATTGATTCAGCTGTCACATAACACTGTTGTAGAACCATTCTCTATTTCTACAATGTTAGAGAAAGTACTACAGGTGACAAAGAGTAAATTTCAAAAGTTCTGAAAGTTGGCGACATTGACTTTGTAAATAAAGATGTAATGTTCAAATAATGTGAAAAAAATGTCTAGTATTCACCAAACCTACTTGGGAATAGCAGGGTCGAATATTGACCTCACAGGTAATATAATCAAGTGCAGTGATAATAAGGTTGTATATCATAAAAATAACATGCATTTTTTTACTGTAGCTCTGATTGTTCGATTGCATATTTTAAAAGGTAAATTAAATGCTCCTTTATGGCAAATTAAATGATGCCATATGAATGATACAACCTTCTTAGCGCGAAATAAAACGATTAGAAAATAAAGTATATTATCTTACTATAAATCGATTTACGGCTTGTTCAAGACACTGAAGCAATGAATTTGATTACATCTTACACTGCAGAATTTGTTAAATGAAAATGGCGCAATTGTGCGTAGAAATTTGGCAGTGTTATTTTGATTATGTATGCAGATGACATTGTTGTTTTCGCAAAAATTAAAGATCTAATTCAAGATACAGTTAATTGGATTAAAAATCCATTTGATGTAATAACTGATGATTGGAAGAGCTGACTTTTTATTAAGTGTAAATTTTGATTATATTAGTAATTCTCTTAACTTGCATCAAATAGTTTACATTGAAATGAGTTATCCAAATCATTTGTTAATCTTTTTGAAGTTGTTTGTTTTTTACCAAAGGGTCAGACAGTGAAATTGCTGTAAATGATGTAAGTATAATTGTTGAAAATATCCTTATCAGACAACAATAAGAAGTCTTTGATTTTTTTGCTAATAGGCAATTGTCAATTGGACCACCGATTTGTCTGTGGTTAGTCTTGTTAGTCTATTTGAAGTAAATTTCCATCCTCAAGTCCAAAAGAAAAGTGTCACGCAGGATAATAGACAATTTTATTGTAAATGTAGACTTACGACATCATGCAAATTGTGAAATGTATAAAACAAAAAGACTCAATATA